GGGGCCAGGGGGGGTAAAATCGCCAGCTTCTCGGAATGTTTTGAGGCTTGGGAAGCCTCAAAACACTCCCAGAAACTGGCGATTTTGCCGGTGGGAGGAGTGTCGCAAGGGTCTGAGTGAGCTTCCAGGACCTTTGCGACGTTCCCCCCCACCTGGAAGCTGGCGATTTCGCCGGCGCTGGCCCCGTGGGGGGGGGGAGCCTTGCAAGGGTCCTGGACGCTCCCCCCCACGGGGCCAGCGGCGACGAAATTGCTGCCTTCGGTCCATAAGACGCACGGACATTCCTCCCCACATTTTGGAGGGGAAAAAGTGCGTCTTATGGAGCAAAAAATACGGTAACCAGTCTCATCTGATTTTGGAAGCTTATCAGGGTCAGGTCTGGTTTGTCATTCAAGATAACTTCAGATCCCCGAGTGGGGTAGGAGAGAATCCTATGTGATATAAAGAGCCACTGCCAGTCAGATTTGACAGTACTGAGATAGATGGAAAAATGGTTTGGCTAATTGGTTCATAGTACTTTTACTGTCGTGGGAGTAAAAGTAAAAAGGAGGCTAACAAGAATATTCAGTTAATGAAAACATTCTCCCTTCTACTAGGAGTATCCCATGAGTAATGCCCACAGGAACTCCTCATCCAAACTGCTACATATATTTAATTGCTCAAAACTAGCACTTAATAAGAAGTATGTTGAGAATAGAAGATCCTAGGGGAGAATTGTATTGTCAAACTAATTTGATAGTGTTTATAGGTTGTTTGGTAACTTCTCTTGTTTATATTTCAGCTATAAAATATATTAAAAGTATCTACTGTGAGATGCCATTTTAAAGAATAGGCAAGAATGTATAAATGGAAAATCAATAATTGACAAAGGGACAGTTCACAATCTGGGAACATGGTTAAACTGTAATCTCTAGCAAATGTAATCTCATATCACATTTCAGATTTTATTGTGATGTGTGAAGTGACAAATCATGGTTTAAAGTTGGTTTGCAAACTAATTCTCAAGTTAGCTGGCTATTACATCCAAATTGGTGAGTCATGACTAGGCATTGCTCCAACTCATGGGACTCCATGCTCTAATTTCTCTCCACAGCTCTGGCCTCTTCACCCTGCCTCCATTCAAGCATTTGTATCTCTGTGTTCTATAGCTGCTCTATGTCAGTTCTTGAGCTGTAAGGCGAAAAGGAAGCAAAGATGCCAGTCAGTTAACAGTCTTTATTGAATTTTACTGTACAAGGAGTTCTGCTCAAATGTAAATTTTGCAGCAGCGAATGATCACTGGTTGTTTACCCCTTTTTGCTGTGATCTCCTATTCTCAAAGCACATTTCATTATTGCAGGAAAAGGGAAGTAGATGGGATGCTAAAAGGAAGGAACTGATTGCCCCAAAGCATCCAAACTGGCAGGTCCTTAGCTACATTGTTATCTTGCAGCTGCTAGCTACTAATCAGACTGCATGTGATGTCACTTTGTCAGCAATAGGGAACCATCCATAGATTCTTTGGGCAATAAATCAACTAAGAATCTCATAGTACCTTAGATGAATACCTTTATTTGCCACTATTTTTTGTGCACTGCAACTGCTCACCTCAGATGCATCTGATGCAGAGGGCTGCAATCCTTGCCAAATAATTTTGTTATAGTTTATGGTGCTACAAGACTCTTGCTGCAACAGATTAACAGTGCTACCCACTTTGGGAGACATCAGGGAAAATAATAGAATTAATCATAATCCACCTATAGTTTGGAACTTGAATCAATTTGGTTTCTCAGGTATTTAGACATCACATCTGAATTAGGATTGTGTGCGAACTTAAATGTTTCCCTCTTTAAAATTTCAGATTAAAATTAAGATCTTATTTTAAAAATAGGCAAGCAATCGTACAGTATTTGCAGGTCATCTAGGTGTATGCTATCAGTTTGCACTTTTGAAATATGAAACTTCCATCTTATCTTAGTGATTTGGATGGATGGTATTGTCAGATGTTTTTTACAACAGTAAGTAATCCCATATTCCCTTTTTCTTTCTAGGCTCATGACAAACAAACTGTTACTCTCAGTTATTATCATTTTGGAGGTAGCCATCTTAGCAGGCATTGTTTACTATAAATTCTTCAGCTGAGCTTTCAAAATACACATTTTTCTACCCTCATGTCTTCCATCCACCCTAAGGACTATGCACAGAAGTTACTAATGAATAGTGGAGGTGGATTGTATTCAATGCAGTTGAGAGATACTACTGAAATGCTGTCAGTTTAACAGCATGTTCACCTGAGAACATTACTGGAAGAAAATGTGGCTGGAGAAAAAAGATAAAGGGCAGCAAAGTGATGGTAAGATTGTATAACGGCAAAGTAATAAAAGATTCTCTAAGTTGAAATGTTGTCTAAATTGTAGTATGGCAGTGTTGTCACACAATGGAAAAAGTAACATGTCTCCAAAACTGATGAAGTTTTAGCCCATTTTGAGAAGGTCAGCAGAGCTTTATAAGATGTCTGTTGTGAAATATCTGCTGACAGTTGGAGGTCCTAAATCCGTACTTGCTCTTCACTATCAGATTCATCTGGTGTACTAGGTGTTGGGAGGCCATCAAAAACAATGTGTGCTCCTTCTCTTGTTTGTCCAAAGCATGTAGCAATCACATCTACTGCAAGATTTGCTGTTGCATTCACTTCTTCCTGTGATGCTCCAAGCAATGGATTTACTTCTACAAGGTCCACGGCTGAAAGCAGGCCTAGGAAATTAAAAGACAATGAGTGACATGGAAGAAACAGGAAAACAAAATGTTTGTTAGATACTGTCTGTGCTCTTCATAGTGGCACATGGATTTTGTATGAATTCCAGTTCAGGCTGCAAGAAACCCATGGCAGTTTTGAAATATTTTACTATTCAACATAAACTTTCATTGGCTTTTTAAGAGCTATCCAAAATGACAATAACTGTTTGCATTTTTACCCTCTTTTTAGATTATATTGTTGCTACTCAGCTACAGACAGTATTAGTAAAAATAAGTAGCTGAATGTTTAACATTCCAATAACTATAATTAACTGGATAAAGAAAAACGGAAAAGGGAAAGCAGACATATTATTTTCTCATTAAAAGCACATAATTACAGGTAGTGGAAGACTGCTAGGAAATAGCTAATAGTGGAAGAGCAGCTAGAATGACTGATCCTGTAACCAAGACTACATTTCTGTAGTTTATGCTCAAGTTTGTTAGGTATAATTTTTAATTGTAAAAACCTATCCTCAGTAAAGTCTTGTTTTTTGTTTATATGTCTGCATACTTGGAAGTATGATTCAAATATTATCTGGAGCTCATTTCCCTCTCTTTTTATTGTCTAGTTCAGTGGTTCTCAACCTTGAGGAACCCAGGTGTTCTTCAGCAACTCCCAGAAACCCCGACCAACGCAGCTGGTGCTGAAGGCTTCCGGGAATTGCAGTCCAAGAATACCTGGGTTACCCAAGGTTGGGAACCACTGGTCTAGTCCACCCAAAAGAGAACTCGAGCTTTTGTCTGACACTTATCCGAACATTTTGATTTAATCAATCTCTGTATATTTTTGTATCATATCTACCATGCTAACATGCACTCTTTTCTTGTATCATGTTCCTTTGAAGTAAAAGTAAAATATATTTGACTGATTCTTACCTGTATTATGTATTTCCTCTGAGATGTACATGCCTTCACGATATGTTAAGCCACCCAAAACAGGAGTCCCTGTTGCTGGAGCCAATGCTGGATCAAAAGCATCAATGTCAAAGCTGAGGTGTATTGGTCGTTGACCTCTGCAAAAGGAGAATCACTTCATTTTACATGTATAATATGTGCAATATCACCTATAAGAACCACTTAGTAAGATAACAAGTAGATAATTTGCTAATACTGCATGTGGTCATTTTTTTTGTCTTGTCTTAACGTATCTTTCCCAAATAGTCATTTGCCTTTTAAAAAAAGTTACCTGCCCAAAAGGTGGTCAAATGTTCTTTCCATCACTTTCTGGATTCCCAAACCATCAACATCTCTCATTGAAAAATATTGGATGCCAAAATTCTTCAGAATATAGCTGTACAAAGAAATTAGTGTAGAGTTACAATTATATGCTGCAAGTCAATATACTTCTCATCTCAGAAGCCATTAAATTCATCAGTAGCCCAGGCCAAATATTGTGAATAAAACAAAGTGCTCTGTCAGCCAAGTTTATCCTGCACTTACTGTTCGGCTGGATCAACATCCCTTAGGCCAATATATACAATATCTGATCGTGAGAGACAGGGCTTTATCCAAGAAAATCCAGGAAGCTGTGGAACCTATAGAATGAGAGAAGAAAGAAATATGTTTTTAACATAACTAATCAGTGAGAGATGTTTTATAGGTTTTAGCTGGCATCCTGTTGCCTAAATGTGTAGCAGGAAGTCAACTGCATTAACTGTTGTTCCTCTACTCTGTCAGGCTTCCCATTCCATGGCCAGTTGTGTAACTAATCTCCCAGTGTCAAAATAGGGATGTGATAAGCATGTGGTGGGCACTTAACAAATTGCTCTTCCCCTCCACATTTAGGCAATATTTAATGGGAGATAAATGAATTGATTAGGTTTATTATATTCCTACAGTAGTTTCTTTTCCCTCAGGAATAATATTGTATAATGAGGAAAAGCTTCATCATCATTATTATTAGGGTCAGGACAAACAGGCCTTTAAAGTGGAAGTTACTTAATTCATCAGCAGATGATTGGATGGCTCTGTTTCGCAAGCACTTACCATATTTTCCATGTATAAGACGCCACTTTCATTACACTAAAAATTGTGGGGCGTCTTATACACCGAAGTACACTGAGAACACAGAGAGAACAAAACTGCCCATACCTTGCCTCTGTTAAGAGGCTTCCTTCAATCATGAGGCTTAGCTTCCTACAGTCAGGAGACTTGGCTTCCTCCAATCACGAGCCTTATGGAACTGATGTCAGCTGATGCTGAACAAACCAATTGATCACCTCATTGGAGGTGGAGCCTGTAGGCTGTTGCATCCTTGTCCGATTCCTTGTCAGAAAAGCGGAGACCCAAAATTGGCCGGTAACAGTATGCCTCCATGAAAGAATGGCTACACTATAATTGGCCATAATAAAAGTATAAAATTAAACTACTGTATACTTCAGTGGGCTGGAGTGTGGGGCTGGATAACCAGGAGCTCAAATCTTGCTGTGCCTCCTGGAGAGATCACTGCTCTGCATCCTTGAGCAAGCTATGCACTCCCATATTACCACCAGAAGGAAGGACTGGTAAACCATTGCTGACTACTTTCCATCCAGCTCTGTTCTTTGCTTTTGTGGAGTTACTGGTGTTAACTTCCATTTTAAAGTGATTAGATATCCCCAGGAGAATATAATGCAAAATGGATTATGCCTGATGACATTTGCAAAAGTGCTACAATGTCTCTGAAAAATTTCTGAAAGTCTTGTTCATGCCAACTGTCCAAGCCAGATGAAAACTTACTCAGTTGTAATTGGTGAGGGAAGAGCAAACGATGCTCTAGTTATGCAGTAAGTAGCATTCTGCCTGATGATAATTTCTATAAGCTCAGCCAGGAAGAGGTTATTTATGTCTTGTCTGCTGCATCTGCATGCAGCCTAACTTGTTGGAGATAGTGATATCTATCTGCTAAAAAGGATTTCTTAAAAGTGTGAGACACAGCTTTTTTCTATGGGATTTCAGTTTAAAATTTTGTCAGGAAAAGAGTGCTGGTTGGTATCACCGCTATTGCATTTATTTGTAATTACTTGAATTATTTGCATCCTTAGGAGTAACCTGTGTTTTAACATCTCTTTGTTCTTCTTCTTTTCTTAATTCCTCACACAAATGCTTGGCTGAATGGATGGAAGGCTAAATCAGTAGTGGGGACATGGACTTGCATATAAACCTTGCCCCTCAAAGGTTTCCATGCACCTGACCAACATTCCCTCTAATTTTCTGTCCCACTGTGCGGGAGCCTCGTTGTGTGTGCAGGGTTGACAGGCCTTCATTCAAAATGGGAAGTAAACAAACCAAGCTACCAGTTGCCGGTGCCCAGCCCCAATGGAACTCTGGGTGAGCATGTGCACAACTCAGAGGAAACATTGTACTTGACAGTGCTACAGCCTTCCGCATGTTGCTTGCTGTGCTACATTACAGTAGTATGGCACTAGACTGAATGTACTTACAAAGCTCTTGTGACTTACTGTTTGCTCCTATCAATCCCTCACTCATTTGGTGCTAGACATGTTCAGGATAGAGTTTTAACTGCAGAGTAAGTTGAGACGTAACCCCCTTAGGCCTATTTTAAGCATACACGACAAGAACTTCTCATGTCAGTTTTCAGCATAGGAATACTGATGTGCTCTTTGCTCCTATGAGTGCAAATGTTAATGTCATGAACCTGTGCCATAATTCTAGGCAATCATGGGAGTCAAATTATTTTGTTAGCACTCGAGGGCTCTTAGCAGGTAAACATTTATGTAAGAGAAAGCTTTTCTCCAGGAGTCTAGCCTATAGTAAAGATAATAAGCAAGACAGAATACAGATTTAATTAGAGCGTATCATTGCTACACAGTACAATCTCTACTTACCTTGTCCTGAAGTTCTCTTAGAAGAAATGAGACTGGCTGTCCATGGAGATTTCCTGAGTGACTTGTGAGTGGAGTGTTAATATCAGCATGTGCATCAACCCAGATAACACATAGGTGTGGGTACTGCCTGGTGTGACCACTGATGGAACCAAGTGCTAAACTGGAACAAAAAATACAACAGATTTCAGGATGATACCGATTTTTCAATCAGGACAAGAAATTTTAGAGAATCCAGCAAAAAAGTATAATAGCCATTTTTGCAAAATATTTTGGAGTATAAAATCCTCAGTAACCATTAAGAGAGAAATAAAAGCACTTACACACCTGAGTTTTTGTAATTGGCAAATGTTAGAAGAACCCCACATAGTCCTTTCTAGCAACAAGAACAGCCTTTTGTTGCCTGTTGTCTAGACCTTATGGACACACCTCACGGTACCTTTTGAAGTGCCTTTTTAATAAAAAGAATGTAATCTGCAAAATCGCATTCTAATTAGCACATAAGAGGACTACTGCATTAAAAAAATCCTATCTTGCACATTTTCCCACAGTGGCCATTTAGATATCTATGGGAAGCCTTCCATATGAGCCTACCCGGCTGTTAAGATCTAGCCAGGGGGCCCTTTTGAAAGAGCCATCCCTCAAGGAGGTAAGAGGGATGGCTTGTAGACAAAGGGCCTTCTCGGCAGCTGCCCCCCAGACGATGGAACGCCCTCCTGACTGAAATTTGTCTGGCGCCGACACTGATGATATTTCGGCGCCAGGTCAAAACCTTCCTGTTCCAGAAGGCTTTTAATTGAAATAACATTAACTGTGGGTCTTTATGATGGCAATTTTAATTGTATTTTAATTGTATTTTAATCATTTTATATTTTATTGTATTGAATTTTAATTGTTGTAAGCCGCCCAGAGACCTTTGGGTAGAGTGGGCGGCATATAAATTAAATAAATAAATAAATAAAAAGAAGAACATACACACAATAATAGTCCTCTACTGTAGTACCTTAGCAACTTGTATTCAGAGGCAGGTTGCCTCTGTTGCTAGCTGTAGTATAGATGCAGCTCACAGCCACTGATAGGCCCATCCTCAATGAATTCATCCCATCCCTCTAAAGCAGTGGTTCTCAACCTTGGGTTACTCAGGTGTTTTTGAACTGCAACTCCCAGAAACCCCAGCCAGCACAACTGGTGGTGAAGGCTTCTGGGAGTTGCAGTCCAAAAACACCTGGGTAACCAAGGTTAAGAACCGCTGCTCTAAAGCCATCTAAACTGGTAGAGTTACTACATTTTATGGTGACACTAAAAAGACCATAGTTTAACTATGCACTGTCTAAACTCTTCCATCAGAATCTTCACTGGATGACCTCAGATCCTACATATGAGGTATATTGAAAAATGAGGCATATTGAAAAAACGGAATACTGCAATCAATCATCTTAAAATGTATGAAGATGTGATAGTGCAAAAACAACTTTTAACATGTTCTATATGGAGGTGTCCTTTCATCGGTAGGAATTACATTTTTATATGCATAACTCTGATTTCGAAACCATCACAGGATTCATAGCTTACACTCTCTCAAACTGATTAAATAATTGGAGAATTATGTTTGGGTGGGGAAATTAGGGAAGAGATGCTTCATCAATCAATGTATGTTAAGGACGTATCTGCTGCCAGCTGGATGCAGAGCATACCTCTACTAATGACCTAAGTGGGTGGACAAGATCATGTGGGAAGAGAATTGTTCAGAAATATCCTGGTCCCATGTTGGACTTTAGAAGTAGTAAGTAGCATTTTGAATTATACTTTGGAACACATACTCTGAAGCAGGGGTGGTTAACTTTTGTTCCTACAGATGCTTTGACTAGAACTCTCATAATCTCTTAGACTGAGGCTTCTGAAAGTTGACATTGAAAACATGTAGGAGACTAAAATTCCTCTAAGCCTCCTCTAAGGATGGATGATGGCCAAAAAACTGTAGCATTTTGTACCAGCTTAAAAAACCCAAACATTTCAGAGGCAGCCCTGTATAAGAACCAGAGTATGAACAATAGGAGCCACATCTGCTATTGTCATGTTTCCCTCAATTCTGGACTGTTAGGAGCATGCCCAAGCCAGGAATCCAGTCCTTCAAGGGGAGCATACGTACCCTTGTGTAGAACAGGTATGAATCTATCAGCATTTAGTCTCCCAAATGTTTCCCACAAGTATCCAATTCCATTTCCTGTGGGACTCATCCATTTTAGAAATCAAATATGCTTTTACTCTGCATGTTTATTAGTGGTAACTGTTTAGTACTAGGTAGAACTGATAATAGCATGGAAAAGTCTTAGAATTCCTCAGTCAGCATAACCACTATTTATGCTGGCTGAGGATTTGGAAGCTGTGGGGGGTGGGGGAGGTAATTTTTCAGTGCTTTGGAATTGGTATAGGATTTGCCATAAGAGAGAATGATCAACTCCTGTGTATGTTAATCATTTTTAGTCACCAACATGAAGTCAAACTATTGCACCTAGTTTGATAAGAATGCTTTACAAAGAGAACACAAACCTGTGATCACCTCCAATAGTTACACAGCTATGTCCAGCAGCAACAGCTTCATTCACAGTGTCAGCCAGAACTTGGCTAGCTAATCCTACAGAGCGTGGGTATTTGACTAGATTGTTGTAGAGCTCATCATTGGGCACTTGGGTAAAGTTTAGATCTCCAACATCATATACCTGACAACCTAGGAAGAAGTGAAATGGAAGAATGAATTACACTGCACATTGGTTTACATATATTCACACTAGCCCAGTCTGGAGACATGAAATATGGAATGCAAGTATACATTCATGTAGCCTAAATAGGTAAACAGTTTCACAACCACTGCACTGCTTATGTAAACATTCCACTCTTATCATTTTCAAGAGATAAGTGAACATATTAGCTAATGTTTGGATGTCACTTTAACCAGATACTTAGAAAAAGAAGAGCCAAACGGATTATGCTAACGTAATATTCTTTTGCAGTACCCAAATCCTGTCAGCAGTCTGACTGCCATTGTATAGTTTTGAAACATTAAAAAGTAAACAACATTCAAGAAATTACACCAGTCATGTCTATTCACTAAAGTCCCTGCTGAAGTATTTCCTTCATTTAGAAGTACCACTGCTAAGTTATACAGCGGCTACAGTATTATGCACACCTACCTGTGATCAAGTCCTATTCAATATAGAGAGGCATCTTTCTGAACAAATCTATTGTAAGGTTGCATTCCCAAAAAGATAAAAGAGACTTTAAACAGAAATAGAGAAACAAAGTAAAACCCAGAATGGAACAGGCTGAAAAGGCTATAACTGGCCCAAGCTGGCAATCTGCCTACAGCATTTTGGACTGGTTGAGGCTTCTGAACAGATTGCAAAGGTTGCCTCATGTAAAGTGCATTACAATAATACAAATGGAATATCACTACATCATGTTTCATGGTACACATATCAAACAACTGTAGAAATGTCTGCAGCTGGCACACTAGCTTTAATTGTGCAAATGCTGTCCCAGCCACTTTTGAAACCTGGGAATCTGAGATTACCCTTTGATTATGAATCTGTGTCTTTGGGGGGGGGGGCATTCCTCACAAGTTGAATCCCTAGTCCGTGATGTGCCTTTCGACTGACTAGAACCTGACATTTAGATCTTGTAAACATGCATCCTTTGCTGTTAGATCTTGTAAACATGCTGTTTCCCATCTGCAAACAGTACATCTCCTCGATTCTTAAACTTTCTGATTGGCTTTTTCTTCTCATCAGGCTTCTTCCCCTCCCTATGCACATACACGTACACTGCACCTGTTTTACAAATACAGCCGGGTCATGCATTCCACTGCCTTATCCTTGCATCTGTGTAACTAGAGCTCCAGCAGCCAAGGCATTGCAACTCCATCCTTCTCTTTCATCATGCCCTGAGGAATCACCAGGAGGCCCATTTAGGCCTTTTTGATTTAAAGGCCTAGTGGTAGTAATAGGAAAAACATTATTTGCAGCCCTTTGCTACCTTTCTGAGGGGTCCTATAAAACCACATTTAAAGAAGTATCCGCTTTCAGGAGCAGCAAGAAAATATTGTGAATACATATTACTTCTGCCCTCATATTTAAAAGATCATTTACATGGAAGCCTATTAGTGAGAAATCTTCATTATTATATAAGAGCAGAAAGAGTGAGAGAAACTGTAGTCATCTTAATGTTTTCTAGTCAAAAACTCCCTCCTAAACTCACTGAAATTGAGGGAACTAGCTTCAGATGACTTCATGATACCAGAAAATGGGATCAAGTTCTAAAATAATGCCTTTTATGTTTATATCTTACTCTTACATGAAGCTCCCAGTGTTCTCTCATTTAGATTGCTGGCCAGCTCCACAGAGCAATAGCATCTGGTATTCCCAAAATGCTCACTAGGCTCCTAAATCAATATTTAGGAAACTGTCCCCATCTCTCTTAATGGGCAGGAACACCAAAACATTTGCCAGTTGCGTAATAAATGCAATGCAAGTGTGGGGAGAAAAACACACAGACACACCACCCAAAGTTAAACATTAAATTCATGGCTCTTTACAATGTTGTGAAAGCAACCCCTTACATTTCTTTTTCATTACTTTGTTACTTCCCTTCCTCCCCCTGCCCCCGAGAACAGTGGGGAAAGAATGGCATGAAGCATGACAAAACACTGTGAAAATGCCTTTTAAAATGCCCTTTAAAAGTTAGGATATAAAATGTAAAGTTATTCATTGTGCTAGTAAAGTAATGGAAATCATACTCATTACTTTATTTTTTAATTTTAACAAAATGTTAACAGCATTCTAAATTCATTATCCTATTACAATTTGTTAGTTCTCAGCTCTCCACATGTTTAATCCAATCAGATGTACAGTGGAGTCTTACTTCAACATGGATTTTTGCTAGCAGAGTCCACACCTAACACCAGCCTGCCATCCGGTATTACTGTACAGTGTTGCATCACAGGCTGATGCAATGGCAGTGTATTCTGTCTTCATGCGTAACATTACAGTTCCAACATACTGCACAAGCCTTGCACATAAGAACTGCCTGACCTCAGAGCTGCCCCTTCAAATAACTTGTCTGGGAAGAACTTTTTGGAAGGAAGCCAATACAAGTGGGGCACCTTAGTTTGAAAATCATTTATAGCCAAGCCCCTGTCCTTCCCTTTTTTTTTAAACCCTTTCACTTTTACATGCTTTTCTGGAATCTCTCTTTTTCTTGTTTGCAAGCCAAGAAAACATCTTAATGTATCAACCACTATCATATGAAATCAGAGCTTTCATCTAAGGAACCAGTACATCATAGCCTTATACTGGCAAGTCAATATACTCTTTGTAGGAGGAGAGAGATGGAGAATCTGGCACTTTGCTAATCCTGTGATTTAATCCGTGTGACAATCTTTAATCAGTATGGACAATTTTCCAATGATGGAAACTGCATTTGGTGTATTTTCAGTTGGTTAATATTGCTTGTTTTCAACTGCAATGTCTGGCTACAACTTCATGGATACTTTAAAAATAGCAGAGGTTTTAAAGCTGCCTTCAGGCAAAAATGCCTACTGACACATGGAATAGCTAAATAGATATAAAGGTAAAGGATTTCAATCTCTAGACATTTTCTACAATATCAGAATATGGCAATGTTGCAGATGATTCATTCATAAGTTTGACGTGATGAAATTTGCATTAGACATGAACTGGATGTGGCTAGCTCACAAAGGAAAATGGTTCTTCCTTTTAAAAATGTGTCATGCCAATGCATTGCCATTTAGGAAGAAGTCACTTCTGTTCAGTCTGGATATTCTGTTCTTTTCACTGGATCTCTTTTCACAGGATTTTCATTTATAATCCAGATGGAAGCTTTGTAAAAATATCACTCCACACCACCTGTACCAAGTGTGTACAAGCTTACCATTTTATATTTTTGATGAAGGAGACTTTAGATCATTTAAAATCTATCCCCAACCAATGTTCCGTCTAATTTCTGCTAGTGCTGCACAGGGCTCCGCCCCTCCATGTGGGGTTCCGCCCACAACCAGAAGCAAATTGGCAGCAATATTGATTTGGCTGTGCGGGATTGATGCTGCATTTCACGCTCAGGCACACGGCTTAGAGAGAATGTCGCTCCCAACCTAATAATTTTTAAGATACCAGCAACATCAGCAGACGATTGTGACCAACTGATGTGACTGCCCCTCTGGAATGTCTAGAACAGTGTCTACATCAATTTAATTAAGATAAAATATTAATGGTTGTTGTGGGTTTTCCGGGCTGTTTGGCCATGTTCTGGAGGTTTTTCTTCCTAATGTTTCAACAGTCTCTGTGGCCGGCATCTTCAGAGGACAGGAGCCAGAACTCTGTCTGTGCTTAATATTAATAAAATATTCTCTTTGTGAAACATGTGGCAGAATCAGACCTGTTTCCTAGTATGCGCCTGAACTTCAACCCTCAGTTTAAAGCTGTATTCTGGTTTGCAGACACAATCTAGCCTTGTAGCAGAAAAATCTTTTCATAACTGGCTGGTGTTATGGTTTTTTTTAAAGCTTACTATTCTAGACAGCTTCTTCATGCTAGGTATTTTTCCACCACTTTGTGAGAAATAGGCAGTTTCTCTTTTGTTCATTCTCAGTTCCTGAAGGATAGATGAGAGATAACAGAAGTGGAAAAATACACATGCTAAAGAGAAAAATAACATTAAAGAAAGACGTATTGTTCATGATACCCCTGGATGTTCTGCCACTGATTTGTGGCTAAAATCATTATCTATGTATACACAAAACATACTCGTTTACTGTGATTTAATTTTGACTTACACATATTTATGCACATAGGGCTCCTAGCAATTTCCCATTTTGTTTACTGAATCAAGTCTACATCTACTTAGGAATGCTGCCATGCCAGATGCTTGTGAGCCATTTAATAAGTCCTGAGCTGTACCCATTCAGTTTGTTCATGAAGTAATAATATTTATGAGGTGGGATTGTCCTGCTGTCAGCAATGGGAATGGCTCCTAGTTAAATGTTTATGGGACAGCAGCCCACCTTAGCTAAATGGAGGAAAAGTGGGAAACAAAGTGGGACTATAATAATAAATTATAGTCTCAAAATGAAAAGAGATTCAGAAGTCATTTGAGCCTAAACTAAGAGAGAATGCTATACAGGGCAAACTAAAAAGTAAAGTTTTCAGTTGGCTTTCTGGTGACCACTTTTTCCCCTTAATTTTACTGCGTTTGATCCAACATCCCTTCCATTCCTGACACCTACTGCAAGAAATATGAAATTTTTTTTGCCACTATCCATGCCTGCTGCACCACTTCCCAATGTAATCTACATTATATAGGGCAGTGGTCCCCAAACTTGGGCCTCCAGATGTTCTTGGACTACAACCCCCAGAAGCCTTCATCACCCCCTCTACTGGCCAGGATTTCTGGGAGTTGAAGTCCAAGAACATTTGGAGGCCCAAGGTTGGGGACCACTGATTAGGGGGTATTTCTTTTCAACATTATGGCCAGACAGTATGCTGTTGCATAGCTCCATTGGCTCAAGGGGAATGACAACACTGGCATATTGCCACTAATGAAAAAGTTCTTCTGGCATTGCCTGTTATGTTATTCTTGTTGGGCTGGCAGAGCTATGGAACAAAGTTTCAGCCAATACATTTGAGAATAATAATTTGGTTACCCCTAGAACTATTCAATAAGCTAAACTAATTTTGAAAGTACTCAAGTAATTTCATATTTAAATAACAGTGCCACTTACATGTTGATGTTCCTAGATGACAGTGAAGTTATTTGCTCCAGTTATATTAAACATCTTTACAGGCATACAGTAGAGTACTTATTTTATATCATCCTTGTGAATTTCCTGGCATTCAAATATTTAAAAATATTTTCCAGTTATAGCTATATTCAAAAGTAATCTGAAGTTTCCAGGCTGTTTTCAAAAGCACTCCCATAGACAAACACATCAAAGAATCCAAATCAGAGGATACCACTGAAAGAAGGCTAGTTCTAGATAGTACTGTAGTTTAAAATTTCCCAAAGGCTGGACATTTTTTGTAAATTATATTCTATGGCCATGGGACTTTTGAATAGCAGATCAGAAAGGCATATGCTAAAGGTTCCATATAGATTACTGGCTGGCAAAATGAGTTTTCCCATTAGGCAACAAACTGGGAGGGGAAGTGCAGAAGTCCCTCTTTGCTCTTTGGTCTGAATCTCCTTTAGTTAACCTGCCCTCCACCCATTTAGTTAGCTTTCTGTTCTTAGCCATTGTGGAGGATAAGATAACATTGTGGTAAGATGCAGTGACCAGTCTGGTTAGATTTTGTATACAGAATGGGGGTAGCTTTGTGTTTTCTCTTGTCAAAGGCATCAAAATGTATTTTTAAGCTCCTGCTGTTATATGCTAATATATTGTGTTTTTTCCTCCTAGACCTTTGTGGGACTGTCTTTCTCATGTGCCAGATATAGGTCTGCTTGGGGTACAGTGCACTTTGCAGGGGAAGTGGAGGAAAGGAGGACAACACTATCTCTATCTCAGGCAGCAAAATGTCTTGGGCTGGACTTGCCTCATTGCAGCTTTTATTTTAAAAGTATTTTAGCAAAGATGCAAAAGATTTAGATAACTAGTTCATTGCTGTTGCTATAGCAATTATCTGAGAGATCTAGGTTCTAGCCCCCGTTGAACAGCCATAAAGAACACTTGGTGACCTTGACTTAGTCGTTCTCATTGTGATCCATCCTCACAAGATTGTTGTGTAGGCAATATGGGGAAGAGGGGAATCATGTATCTGCTTTGAGACCTTTTCGCAAAAGGCAAGATATAGATGTAACTAATTTTTAAAAAACACTTTTAAGTCCACAGTTGGGAAATGATTCTTCAGGATCAACCAAAGTCTCACAAAAGTGTGCAAAACTTTGCCTGCTTTGGGGGGCGGGCATTTTAATTGGACTTAAAATATTGCCCAGTAGCGGGTTTGATTGTTTTCAGCAGGATTATTCCGTTGGAAAGGGCCTTGCCTCTGGCTATACAAGTCTCTTGTCTTTGGAATGCCACAGGAGAGGAACATTCTAGAAGGGGGAAGGGGGTCATTTATCTCTTTGCTCACTGCCTGTTAAGAAGACAGATCACACTTCCAAAGAAAGAAGTCTCAGTTTACAGAGCTTCTTTTGCCACACCTCTCAAGAGCTAACTCATATGCCTCATGAATCATCACCTCCGGAAGGAAAGATGCAGGAAGGGAAGCCAGAAGAACTAACTGCATCAGAACTTCATACCAGTGAAGACTTAAGAAAAGATGAGGGGATTTTCCTTGGGGGAGGGGAGGGGCTACAATTCCCAGAGTACTTCAGCCAATAAGGGTCATACTAACTGAGATGTGTTCCACGAGTTGTAATCAATCAATCAGTCAGTCAATCAATCAATCAATCGTTTTGGGTACCTTGCCTTTCACACTTACCCATGCGGGACAGCTTCCCGACGAGTCCCGCGTTCCTGATGGCTTGAGGCCCATGGTCCACCCCTTTCTTTTTCTGGAAGACAAAACGGGAGAGCTGCAGTCTCGAAACAATAGGCGTGGAGGAAGAGGAGCCGCGGCAGTGACATCACCGGCTGAGCTGACGTGCTGAACAGGCTACCGCTTGGAAATTTCCACTACCGAGACGACTGGCTTGCCCTGCTGCTTCCAACAGCATCTCTCACACTGCCCCCCAACACACACACACACCCCGCGCGTCACTCCCCCAGGAACATGGCCAGCCTCGACCTAGCGAGCGACCTAGGGAATGGTACCCTCGCCTCCAGCTTTGTAGCGGAGCATCGCCCAGCAAAAGACAAGTTACAGGCCAAGGGTGCAAAAGTCATATACTGTACTATATCCCCCTCCTTGTCCCTGGTTTGGGGCATCTTCCTTTCGAATCCAGATAGACGACTGCCTTGCCCTCGTGTTAAGCACCCCCACATGAAGGGGGCATGTCTCTCCTCTCCTGGTGCAAGCAGTCGCTTTAAAGTCATCAATTGGGGGGAACGATCCCGTCCGGTCTCTCCCCCTCTCCGCCGTCCTTCCTCACCTGTCCCCGAGAGAAAGGAGCTCCGATGAGGGTCACCAAGTGAGCAGGCCTCTTTTGGACCCTGAGCGTGGAGCCCGCTTGCTGTTTGAGGAGCCGGGCGAAGCTGCTGCGAAAGGACATGACGACCGGGATTAGAGGAGGGCGGTCTTCGAAGTCAACAGACGGGTCGCTCGCTCCCACGCGGTGGTTCCCGCACAGCCCCGGCGGCAGCGGAGGCACCTTATAACCAGCCAGGCGCCAAGGCAGTGCGGCGGCAGCTGGCCCCGCCCCT